AGTCAAATCTGTCAGTTTTAGAGAAAAGCTGCTGTGCCCGAATCGCTAGTCAACAGGTTAAGATGTGAGTTCAATTCCTATTATTGTCATATCACTCAATCTTCTCAAGAATCGTCTTTCTAAGACAAGGTTTACAAAAATATTCACGACATTAATAAGGAGGTCAGCCCACAGCTCTCCCCAAAACCCTATATCTTCTAAGCATCACACAACATCCAAAACATCCCCATTAAGTACACAACAAGAAAGTATCAAAAAAATTCTCATTTACGCGCAATCAACAATCTTCATTAATTTTTATCTAGGCAAAACAAGAAATGAAAGCACAAAGACAACAAGGCAGGAAGAAAAGAACTCTCGAAGGACAATGACAACAGAAAATTGTCAAGTTACATAAATTTCATGAAATGAGGGAGAGAGAGAGTTGCTTGTGCATTAACTCGTAGAGCCACTTCAAATTTATATTTTGTATACAATTTTTCGTCTCATGCTTCTTTTAGTGCTTTCATAATTGCGCTTGGTTTGTTTACTTTGTCATGAGTGCTTTATTATACATTTGATTTACAACTTCCAAGTGATGGATGTTATGGTTTGGGAGGGTTGAACTTAAGAGCTTGGAATGATTGGGTCTTTAAAGAATGAATATCAATATTTGTGATTCCAATTGCTAACGGAAGTGTAGGAGGGTGTGTAGGTCTTTGGGTCATAACCAAATGGATAAAAAACTGTAAACTTCTGAATAAAAATTTAAAATTCTGTACTCCATTTAATTACTGTCAAGAAATGCGCTTAAACAAACAACATTAAGTCATTGACTTTATTCTTCCTTTCGTCTCCTTCAACTTTCAGCACAAGTAAAAAATTTTTTTCTCAACAAACCCGGAAGGAAACTAAAGGGAACGAAACTAATTAAATTTTTGCTATAAAAAAATACCACTCAGTTCTGTGCTATGCTGTCCCATCTTTATTTACACAATTTTCATCCTTTTCCCACTCGCCCATCCAGTCCCTATTAAAACATTTTCTCGTCTTCATTCTCATTTATATATTATACAGTACTTTAGTAAGTTCAGTTATTTAGCTGCTTGCTTAAGGTTGGATGAATAAACAAAGTCATAATTTTTCATAAGAAGCAAATTTTTAATGAAAAAAAAGATTCTCGATTTTTTTAACTCCTCAAAGATTGCAACGGATGAGTGGAATTTCCGCTGTGCACTTGAAGACAATTTCAAGTCAATTGAAAAGCTATAAAAATGAAATTAGGTTGACGGGAAGCATTTGATGGGAATAAATTGATCAAGTTATGTTGTAAAAGTTTTTGCAGCTATCGAGGATGGAATAACGGATTCATAAATATTCAACAGAATGTGAAATGAGGACTGTAAAATGTTATTAGTACGCAAAAAGCCATTAAGTTAATGTATTATGATGATGGGAGGAATTGGTTGGACTTTGGATGGTTACAATGTTGCTGGAAAGCAGTCATTAAAAATATATCATGCCCGTACCCATAAATATAACTACAACATTCCTTTTCTTTTGCCAGACCATATCTATACCTTAATACCAGACCACAGCCAAACCTTTTACCAGACCATGCACATTCCTATTACCAGGCCATATTCAGACCATACCCAAACCCACACCTTGACTATGTCCATACTCAATATCACATGTATATACAAGCAAAAATACCCACCGTCCATCAAATAATCAAGCCCATCAAGCCAGACAAGATTTATTTATTAAAAAAAGACTAACTAGCGTGTACAGCAAATATGCTTGTTAATGTTCATGCAGACAATTCATTTCCTGAATAAAGTGCCATTTAAATGTTAATTTAATTTACATTGACAAATTTTACAGCCATTGAGTCGCTTCAATTCCACCAACTAACAGTTCTTCTTGATTTTTCGCATGTCATTTACAATTAAAAGCTATTTGCGCTATACTGAATCTCAAATTTTATTGAGCGAAGGGCGGATAGAAAAGTTTAATTTTGTAATTGACATTATGTGAACATTAACCGGTAGAAAAAAAGGCAGAAATGCGGATACAGTAAATTGTGACCTGATTTTTTTTCTTCAGGATGGAAAAAATAAATAAACTTTGTTGTTATTGTTTTGCTCAGGCTTCATTTGCATGCCATAAATATAACTTTTTGTCGCCAAAATGAATACTTACATTTTAACGCATTGGGCACGTCCATAAAAATCATAACAGACAACTTTTTACCCGTCTATCAAGCGCGGGAAAGTGAATAATGTTTGCGGCATAATTGTGTCATTTACAGGGAAAAGAAAACAAAAGAAATAAAGTAATAATAATAAATGTCATGCATTAATGATGTTATAGTATCATGAATACATAATGTGTATGCTCTTGTGATGAACACAATGGCATTATGTCATCAACAATTTAGAGTAATGAAGCACCAGCAAGGCGCATTGTTGTTTATCGAATTCGTATGTGTAAAATTCAATTTAAGGCTTAATGTTGAACTGAATTGTTTAATGGAATGTGTTGATAAGAGAATTATTGGAACTGATGAATTAATACTTAATCTACTCCTACGCAGGACTGTTACAAAATTTCAAATGAGTTATTGACTCAATACTATTGAGTCTCATGCATGGGACATGCTTTGGTGGGCAAGAGATAGGCCAGATGTGGGTTCGATTCTTATATCAAATAAATAATAATGTATTTATTGAAGGACATCATTTCCATAAGTTCCACTCATCTTTTCAATTTCACATTCATCCCTATGACATTAAATTCAATTCACATGATGTCACTTCAATAGCCTCCATAAGATGCTTTTGATATTGATGACTCAGCATCATTATGTTAAAGCATTCTTAATTACATTGATTTCTTGCCATTTCCAATGAATAACAATTATTATGCTGCATCATAATTACAATCTTCATCTGACATCAATCATCGGAATTCATAAGCAAATAGAGTGAATATTAAAGCTAATTAGTAGGTTTTGAAAGTTTCAATTACACACTCCATTATCTATCAACATGATGTTTAGCAATTGAATTGCAAATAGCTGTGAAATTAGTTTTTAATTGCTTTTGGATATGATGACGCTAATGATATGTAAATGATATTTGAATTACTTTTGAGGGGATTGGAGATAAGTGCAGTTCAGGGGCGTAGCCAGAAAATTTTTAAGGGGGGGCCCATTTTTGAAAATAAAAAAAACCGTTATTTTGTATCCTTAAATCTATATTCATTCTTCATAAGTTTAAATATTTAATTCATTGTTCATACATTAAACTTAATTTTTCGTGCTGATTTTGACATTTTTTTCATCGCTTCCTCTACATTAACTGGTTCTTCTCTAAAAATACTTAATAAAACAATTATCAGATTTTCGTAGGGAGGGAGCCGGGCCCGCTATGCCCCCCCCCCCCCTGGCTACGCCCCTGGTGCAGTTTAAGAATTCGAGATTTTTAAATGATTTTTTAGAGGAATTGGTATGTGGGAATGGATTCTGGTTTGCTTCTAAGAGTATATCTGTGGTTTAGAACGTTTAGCGTCGCTAGAGGTTGGTTTTTGCTGTTTAAACTTAAGTAGAACCAGCTGCATGAATCTATCTTAATGTGTAGTTTGAATTCTAGTTTATAGCTAGATGCAAGATAGCTATTAGGCATTCAGTAGACCTATGAAGGTTCCCTTCTTAAAAATTATGCTCAATAGTATGCCTAACAATCATATCCAACACTGCATTGTTAATTCTATAATCCAAAAAAGTCAATTCAATATTTTTGACATGTTATATCCCACTGGAATATGTAAAAAGGATCTGTTTGCCCAAATCATTGACTAAAAACAGATAAACATTATCCACTCTCAATTTATGAATGCATGATGACATAAAAATCGCTGAAAGCATGAACAAAAATATTTGATTCAATTTATTACACATGTAACATGATAAATTTCTTTTAAAAATATTATTTTGTATCAATCATGGCCGTACAAGCATTAAAAGTCAGCATAAAAAAAAATAAACAAAAACAAGCATGACAAAAAAAAAGTTATGAGAATGGGAAACAATAGAGAAAGGGATCGTAATGGAATTGAATTGTGTAACGAGATACTTTTAAATGAAATTTATGGTTGACTGAATGTAAAGCTTTATGACCCTTTTTAATTCTTTTTTTCTCTCGAGGGTTGATTTTTTTTTGCAGCGAAGAACAAAAACTTTTTTTTTTATGAAAAAAAAAATGATATTTTTCAGTAAGTGTGTCGAAAATATCGCATTTACTCGATACATTAGTGAAATGACAATGACAAAGCATATTTCTTTGTGCGCTCTAGTTTGCAGAGCAAGGGTTGGATGCCTAATTGAACTCATTAACTTTTGAAATTTTTAAGTCAACTTTTTTGGAGAGATTTTAATGTGACCTAGTTAATTGAGTTGAATTGAGCGATGCTGGAGGGATTGTTTGGTCAAGATAAATTTCTAGGGTTAATTTTGGATAATTATGCAGAAAATTTACTTTTAAAATTATTAAGCCATGAACTAATTGATTGTCAACTTTAAATATTAATAAATCTCAAGCATATGGAACCAAATAGCTAATAATAACAACCTTAGCTCCTCCATAACATCCAAAATCCCTAAAACTCACATCATCCCAATAAATATCAAGCCATTTACTCAAAAACGTCTTTATAATGTCCAAACAAAATCCACAGCCATTAAATTCCATTGCAAGTTCAGTGCCAAACAACTTTGCAGGACAATAAAACACAGACAGAAAGACTTCAAATATGTGCCATCGACCAAACATCAATAATCTTAACATAATGATGAGAATGGCTTTAAAAACATCCACTAATTGCCAAACACAAAAGCACATCCCACAAAACTGTGACAAAAATCTTTCCAAATTACCCTGCAAAAAAAAAAATCCGCCGAGTCACAAAAAAAACATTTTAAATTAATTTCTATTCTTCCTTTTTTGCTCTCTTTTCAGTACTCATTACTCCAAATAGTCGTTGAGGCGTGCCAGAAAAAGAGACGATGTAGATTTTTATCGTCACCGAAAACATTTGGCGGAGATCCGTGTCCGGGAATGAGAAAGTTCATAGAAGTCGCATACAAATGTCGACCGAGTGAGTATTTCATTGAACCTTTTTTTAAGCATGTTTTTGTACAAGGGAGGGTAAGTGATATTGGAGGTATGTCTTTGGATTATTGTAGCAGCTTCGACTCTTGAGGTCTAGAAAAATCGCTGATGCAATGAAGATCCAAGCGAAGAACTCAAAGTCATCTCATATTTTACAAAGTTTATGATTACCTCGAGTTCTTTAAGGCGTTTTCGGGACTACCTGAGTCATATCCTTAAGCAGCTATTCTCTGATTCAAGGTTTCATCATCATCAAAATGTCTGCCTTGAGGATCCTTACTGACTTTCTGAAGACACTAATACCATCTCGTCAGTTCAAATCTCAGATTTACAAATAGTATAGACCAAATCTATCACATTTTGATCATTTTCAATCAACTTTTATCAGTTCCACTCTCTTGAGTACAAGCCAAGAACCAAGAATTTTCTCACAAAACTCAGTAGATGCGCTTTTGATCCACAAACTCTTAAACTTCATCACCAGTCAGTTTTGCTTCTATATCGTCTGAGACAATTGAAAATCTTTTGCATTCTCGAGCGCATATAAGACATACATATTCATTATTATGAATGGATTAAGATATCTCCTTTATTGTCAGATGCAAAATCTTCATTTGCAATCCAAGCTTTACATTGTAAAAGAAATCGAGAAATTTTATTTGATGAAAAAAAAAATATTTATCCAATCAGATTCGAGAGAATTGGAGATGAAAAAGTTTTCTCAACTCACTCAATTATTGCACAATCAGATTTTGTATACAAAGAATTTTTTAAGCTGCAAAAGAGCTTGTTTGTTTGTTATGTAAGCATTTTTTTAAAGGAACTTGAACAAAAGTGCAATTTCATGACTTTGTAATTCTCGATAAAACGGTAAATGGAAATGCTTAACTGCAGATTTACTTCTCATTAAGCTTATCTTTTGATAATTTTCCTTATTACTTATTTTCAATTTTCCTTATCGGCGAAATCCATTGAATTGTGATTCTATTAGAGTAGTAAGCTTGAAGTTTATGTAGTTAAACTTAAAGTTTGGTAGTTAAACTCCAAGTTTTATTAACAAACGACTGTTCTGACCTTGTTCTTTGCTTGTTGATGATTAGAACTTGAACAATCACAATTACTTATTTAAATCGATTGAGCTAAGCAAGAACTAAGTTGGTTTAACGACCTTAGTCTTGTTCATGGACTGTTCAATACAAAGATTCAAGAGTTTGAGGTTGACGAACTTTTAAGGTTGATATGAATCAAATGATTCAAATTTAATCGAAGATTGTAGTTCTGAATGCAAAAATCAAGAAAAATCAAACTCTTAAAGCTACAATATAAAACTTTTTGTCTCCATTCCCACTACATGTCTTCAACTATTCTCAACGTACATGCGGTAAATGTCACAAACCAATAAAAGTCACAGCAAAACTTTTTTCCATATGAACAAAACATTTACATCATTGAAAAAGTTTAATTAATGAAACTGCAAGCTACATGCGGTATTGATTTAAAACTGTAGCGAAAAGGTAAATAAAACTAGAACAAGAAGAAACTTTTTCATCTCCTGAATGAATTCATCATAAGAGAAAATTTCATACAAACATATATCCGCCATTTCCACACGTAAAAAAGGCAAAATTTAAGCTTCACGTAAAGGAAAACATCACTAATGGAATCAACTAAGTGCAAAACTTTTAATAGTATTTCTAATTTATGTTTAATGAACTGTTATTTAATTAAGCATATCGGAAAGGAAATTGCGAGTATTGAGGAAGTGCTCTGTTGAGAAAGTTGAGTCTTATTGTTTATTGAAGTCAATTTGTAATTTTAGACTAAGGAAATTATTGTTTATTATTAAATAGATCAATAGATCAATATTTTACGGTTAATTGGGTTCTTCAAATTATGAATTTTTTAATTCAAAGCAATTTGGATGTACTAAAGTTTTTAGATTTGGGTGCCTTCACATTTAATTTTACCATTGACATTCCTTCACACTTACAATTTTCAGGGTTTAGGAGCTTTTAAACTATAGTTTTGCTATTCAGGTATTTATACATTAGAATTTTGATGTTTTAGTTCCTGTATTCTACAGTTTTAATATTCAGGTGCTGTTACACTAGAGTTTTGATATTCAAATGTCTTTACATTAGCTTTTTTAAAATTCAGCTGTATTCACACTACAGTTTTTGAATCAGGTGTCTTCACATTAAATCTTTTGGGTTCAACTGTCTTCAGATCAAAGCTCTCAGGTTCAGGTGCTTTCACAACAAAGCTTTCCGGTTCAAGTGCATTCACTCTTAAACAATTATATTCCGATGTTTCTACACTAGGTTTTTTAAATTCAGGTGCATTCACAACAAAGCTTTCGGGTTCAGGTGTCTTTACATCAAAGCTTTGGGGTTCAAGTTCATTCATACTACTGTTTTTAAAATCTGGTACCTTCACACTACAGTTTTTGAATCAGGTGTCTTCACATTAAATCTTTTGGGTTCAACTGTCTTCAGATCAAAGCTCTCAGGTTCAGGTACTTTCACACTCCTGTTTTTAAAATCTAGTACCTTAATACTAAAGTTTTGAGGATCAGGTGCCTTCACATTAAAGCTTTTATACATAAGTTCCTTCAATCAAGAGCCTAAAATATAAATTCCTTTCAATTCTTTATTTTTCAAAAAATCCAAATATTCTCAAGCAAATCAAAATTCTTCATGACATGTTACATCATGTTTTATTCATGAAACTCAACTATGGGAATAAACTACAGACAGCAGAGTCACTTGAGTGTCCCAAAAAAGCATTAAAATAGAAACAAAAGCTCGCCATAAATTCCATAGCCCGATGTTATGAACATATTTCGTCAAAATGCATAATAAATAAGAAAAAAAAACTTTCAGTTCATCCAGTTCATCTAAAATGTATCCCCATGCAGCACAATAGAAGCCCGAAAAATACTTAAAATTTTAATTGTCAATCAATTCCCTCCCATTTTCATCAAATTGGGATTACTAAAAGGATGTGAAATGACTGTAATTTATAGTTCATGTCTGTATGTTTTATGTATGATATAATAATAACAGTAATAGCTTCCATAAGAAGGCAAACACAAGATGCTCCTTAAAAAAAGAAGAAAAAAAAACTGGTTCAAAATTTGGTGACCCCTTGAAATGGTAATTTTACGTGATTCACATCTACGTGAGCTTTTTACTCAATCATGATCACTCAATATGTGGATGTGAAGCTTTCAGCCTCTTATTATTCATATCTTATCTTCTGTTTATTTGTTTTGTGTTTTTCCTTCATCCCTTTCTTCCTTTTATTGTTGTCTTTTCTTATTACTAAATCGTCTTCTTTATGTGCGTAAATTTATGAGTATGAATGTGTCTGTTGTTTCTGACCTAAATTGTGTACGACATCTTCAAGAACGTCAGGCACAAAAATTAAAAAGCTTCAATAAAAAAAATATTTAAGGAATAGAAAATGGAAGTTTTGCTGTGTAATAAAATCCAATTTGATTTTATTTGTCCACAAAAGCATAAACTCGTTTCCTTTTTCTTAGGCTCTCATTCCGGCTTTATTTCCCATTTTCATTCACTCAATTTCACATATATAGATGAGATAGAAACTTTATGTTAATATAATCCAATTTCAGGGCTCTATCTCTATTTTTCTTCTTAATACTTTTCGATATATGTGAATGTTATGCAATAATATTTTTATAACTGGAACTTACTTATTGCTAAGCCGTTTGTAATGCTCAATTTCCTTATTTATTGGGAATATTTTATTCAATTCATTTGGAAAAGTAGCCATCATCTTCACGTTAGTTGCTGAAGTGGATGGAAATATTGTAGGAAAGGACTAAATTGGAATTATTGATGAAAGTTTTGTAATTATTAGACGAGGATTGAGTGGAGTTTGAGTTGTGTTCAACTCACATTGGCTGGAGGGTAGCCAAAAAGGCTATAGGGTCAAACTTCACAGTGCTAACTTGAGAAGGAATGCATAAAAGAGGCAGTCTTAAGCAGGATCATGGTCAAAATTGATGCTGGATTATAAGTCCAGAGACTATTTAGCTACAGAGAATATAAGAACAGAAAATCACAGTCACTAAAGGTTTAAAAGTCCAGATACAATTTGTCCCTGGACTGAAAAGCATCACGTGAAGTTCATAAGTCCAAGTATAAATACAGCTGGAATTATAAACTGCACGAGAGGTTTTTAAGTCCAAAATAAATCCTTTTTTTTTCCTTAACTAGGAAACTAGTGACCTTTAACGACCAAAAGAAGATAAATGCTCTTGTTTAGGGATGCAACAAGTTTATAGCTGTAGTTAATATGTAGTGCCTTGACCCTGACCATCTCAAAAGTGTAGCTAAGTTTTCAAACCACCTGCTTAATGAAAGTTAAACCAGCCCACATTAAAAGCTGCTATTCCTTATCTATTTTCTCAAAACAAGAAGGATAAAACCTTCAGATGTATCTTTATTGTTCATACCTTGTCTCCTGCCTAGCACACACTTTAGTAGACATTCACCCAAACTCAAAAATTACTCTAACAATATCAATTGAATAAACCATTTACGATACTTAATGCAACTAGTCACAAAGCAAAATTCTTCAATATTCAACAAACTTTATTCAATACAAAAATCCATGATTCCCAATAATCCATTATTCACAACAAAAAAATCCATCCTCAAGAGAATAATCCTATATCATGTACACAATATTCCATTTATGACAACTATTCCGCATATTTGCCATCATTTATGATACGTTTGAGGGAAAAAGTATTGAAAAAATACTTTAATCTGATATCAATTGAGTATATACAAACATCCTACATATGTTCATATTCATCTGAATAGAAAAATAAACGAAAAAAAATTCTGTTTTTTATTCCATAAAAATAAATCAATAGCAATTCCTACATTATGCCTGATTTTCTTTCTCAATCTTCTTTAAGCGAAGGACGTGAAAAGCAATTGAGGAATAGAAATGAACTTAAGGACGCTGTGTAAAGCAGGGCATTAAAGTGTGAAGGTCCGATTGAAGATAAATGCCGAATGTTGCGGATAGAATCAATGAAAGGCTTATTGAAGGATGTAGAAAAAAAAAAAGGTTTTCGTGTCCCTTTTTATCCTTCAAACATCAGCAGCATTGTGTGTAGTTGTATGCGACTTTGTGTAAATGCACAAAAGTGTGTTCATTCCATTCCATATGAATTGGTTCGATTAAATGTTGAGCAATTTTCTTCCAATAAATCTTTTATGCCTCTATATGCTGAACTATATTGATGATGTTACCGCTTTTGCCGATTCAACATTCCAGTTTAATAAATTTCAAAAACTTCCCTTTTTTTACATTCTCTATATTAAGGCCTTACGATAGATGTAGATGTGTTGAAAAGGGATCGATTATTGGATTATTTAAGAGAGAAAAGGAGCTTTACAATTTAATCGTCCTCAAATTTATTCAATGAATGTTTCAACACCTTCCCGTAAACACTCTATAAGCCTCCTTTATATACATATATACATATTTTTCAGAACAGGCCTGGAAATTTCTCTATTCAGATTCATCATGGTGAAATGTTTTCTTTTGGAATTTTTTTGTGTTCGGCTTCTTTTTGTTTATATACACAAGTGAAAATCATGCTTGATTTTGTATTTTCTACACGCAATATTAAGTGATGACATGGAATGTGTATGAATAATAGAGATGTTAATATAATGATTTTGTATGGTTGGATTTAGGTTTTGGAACTTTTGAGTAGGGTGACCATCTGCGTAGTTTTACAACGGACAGTCCTGTATTTCAAAACCCTGTCCTGTATAAATTTGAAAATTTTGTTCCAGGTCCTGTATTTTTTTCACGAAAATTTCCGTTAATTTTCAAATTTTCCTTTGTGTCCTGTATTTTTTGGGAAATTTATCAAATGTCCTGTATTTTCATAAAAATTAGATGGTCACCCTACTTTTGAGTCTTAAATTTTGGAAATGTGTGTTTAAACCTAGACCCAAGAGTTGTTTGACAGACTGGGATTTTGATGTTTCAGACGATAAACCTGAATTGAAGTTTCATGAGAATTATTGAAACATCCACAAGGAAGAAGCAAACTTATAGACGACAAAACCACAGAAAAAAGTATAACTCCTAATAATAGATCTCGAGCGGGACTCAAACCCACGGGTTACGATTTCCGGTCACATGCTCCTACCACTGAGCTATCGGGGGTTAGACGAATATGTGACTAAATCCCATTTATAAGTTACACTCTTTTTACTGTTCCCTTGCACCACATGATTTATTGTTGGCTATTACATGGAATCGCATATTCAAACAAGAATTCAAAGTTTTATCTAGATTTGGTCTGGTAGCGCTCCGGGGTTGATGGACAAGACAAGAGATATGAAATGAAAGTCTACAGACCAATCTTATCTGAAAATATATTTATGAACAAGTCCCGAAAGACACAAGACATAAAAATTACTGAAAATGTGGCACTAGGATGGCATGAACGAGGCACCATTCTGGATTTCATATTTTCGGCCATTTTTACAACGTGCGATTTCCGGGAAGCTTAAAGCAAGAATTTTAAAGCTTCACCAATTGTCAAGATCAATGCTTCAATGCTTGACAGCACTTCCACAGTAGTATCCGATGTCAATCTATTACTGAATAAGAAAACTTAGAAAATCTTGACCCAATCGACAATAATCTCCAAAAATATGGAAATTACATTCTTCTTGATTTAAATGTTGAGCATTCATAAAGCCGGTTCTCATTTAAATGATATCCGCTTTTTGTTTTGAAGTCCTTTTTTCTTGGAAGGAAAACAAACAACTGTCTTATTATCTCATCCTACTTTGATCATTCATTAGCTTTAATATTTCCCTACTCATCCATTCATACTCATTTCTGATTTCTTTGCTATGTTCTTTGTTTGATAATGTTGATTTGTTACTTCTTGGAACTGCAGTTAAAAAGCTTGAATGAAGTATTTGGCAAATGACGTTCTTTGCGCAATGAACGCACTTCTCCTTAACTTTTATGTCTTCCATTTCCTGAAATTAGGATTTTTTAACGATGAAATTCTAGTGACATATGAAAGATTCAATTAGCCTTGATTAGCAGATACCTTCCTCTTGCTTCATCACTGCCAATTCATCTCAACATCTTTGACCTTCAAAATTTATTAATTTGTGTGCTAATTTTCCCATAAAATTCCTTCAAATATTCAACGAGCATACGACTTAAACGCTGTAAACGATATTTCATTGTAATTCATCACCAACTTATTCATTCGATAAAAAAGTATTTTCACTTTCATTTGAAATCAATCTCATCGCTTGTTTCTTATTCCCTGCTTATTTCCATTTTCGAATTTTCTTGTCGTACCGTACATTTACAATTCAATACAAGTGGAGCTGATGATTTAGCAAAAAATTAAAAATTCCACAGCAGACTTACAACATCTATTCATGCTATCAATATCAGTCAGTTAAGGAATGAACAAAATATTTTTTTTTCATTGAGTCATTTAATTCTCATTCTTCGACATCCATTCAACACCCATTCACAAATTGTGAGGAATTTTTATTTTTATTACAATTTAAGTGTCTTGAAATGGGAGATTTTCTTTTTTCCACTTTTATGATTGCTTGAGGATATATTTTATATTCTATTCTAGTAACTATATAAAGTATGAACTTACTGAACTGAAATTTCTTTTTTTTTTTGTTCTATCATTTCAGGCGAATTTCGTAGTAAAGTAGCGTGTGAAAATGACATAATGTCGTTTGAATGTAATCCGTATTCACGAATTGCTGTAAATGCGGCCAGCTTTGGACGAACTGAATATGAGAGTCTACAATGTCCACAGCAACCAGGTGTAAAAGAAGAAAGTAAGTATTTATATTTATTGTTATTAAGAAGCTTGAAATTTGAGTTTTTTGAGGTAAAATTTTTAAAAATTGAACAGCTCTTTGAAGCTTTAATTGCAATTTACCATGCCATTGAGTCCATTGAAATGAATTTACGAAAAAACTGATACTGAACTGTGAATCAAGTACATTTGCTGAATCAAAAGCTATCATTTGATCATTTACTGTATGGTTTTTCATGAAAACTTGGCTTTTTTGAGTGCCAATACACAATGCACAGTTGTTATGTCCAAAAATAACCAATTTTAAAATAATTTGTTGATTATCAATGAGTTTTTCATCAGTTCGTTGATGTAAAAATTAATCTTGAAAGGGGCCATTCACTTATTACGTAACGCTTTTAGGGGGAGGGGGGGTCTAAGATTTTGTTACGGTTCAAACAAGGAAATTTTTTTTTTCATACAAATTTTGTTACGAGGGGGGGGGGGGGGGGGGGGTCTAAGAAGTCATTTTTTCGCGTTACGTAATAAGTGAACAGCCCCAAAGGAACTTACCGAAAAAAAAATAATTTTCAACATTTGGGCATTCTCACTGGTTTTTCAACGCACTATTGGCTCATTTTTCATATCTGAGGCAATCTGAGGTTTAACCTGCTCAATAGTGTAGGGGTCTGAAGCTGCGTTAAGATCGAGGGGATGAAGCAACATTAACCGGATAAATAACGGCCATTTTTTAAATAGATATTTAAGTGTGCAAAAGTACAATAAAACTTTTTATTATATTAAAGTATATTTAAAATGTGTTTAGACTCTACAAATAGCATAGTAATTCAGGATTTTATAGGAATATGCTTCATTATTTCTACTTTAATTTGCAACTAGAATACAATTTGTACGGAAAATTGAAGATTCTTAAGTATCTAGACAACATTAATCATGTATTGTCTCATAATAATGTCATATCATTAAGGGCCGTCCACTAATGACGTCCAGGTGGGAGGGGGTTAGCAAGAAAAGAACAATAGAAATTTCGGACGTCATAAGTGAACGACCCCTTAACAAATTCCAGTGAAATCTTATAGAAAAATCCGAAAACTTAACATCCGATCAGCTTTTATGCAAAATTTACATCTTAATTAACATGTTTTCATTCCAAACTCATTTGAAGCTCCCCTCAATCGTATTAACAGCTCATCAACATTCAATTTCATATATAATGTTTTATTCAGCATGATAAAAAAAAGGTTCAGCACAAACTTATATATCCACAAAAATCTCTCCATTCGTTCACTCACTTAATCGTACATATGATTCATGCTGTAACATTTACAATCCGATTAAATTGATGCATGTTTATTGGGTTGCAAAAAAAAAACGAGAGAGAAAGAAAAAGGAAAAAAATTTATCTGAGCGAAAGGAGAGAAAAAATGGAAATGAGCATTCATGAATATTTTGAATGAAAATGAAAAGGTAAAGGCTTAATAAATGCTTTGTAAAGAAATAAGTCCTATTCAGTGGATGTTTAAACATAGCAGGAGAATTTTACATGTAAGCACACATGTAAAAGGATTTAAAATATTAAAGAGAAATGTTTAAATAGCAAAGGAATTGAGTTGGAAGTTATAATTACATGATGTTGTAAGATTTAATTCTAAGTATAGTTTTTTGCTAAAATTAGAAGCTAGTCAATTACTAATTTGATTGGATTATATACTAAAGATTTAACTTTAGAGATTTTGAGGAAGTTCTGTTCATAATTTCTGAAGCTAGATTGTTTAAAGAGCTTAACTAAGTTCAGCTAAAGTTTAAATCAGACAAATATTTAATATTATGGTTTTATATTAAGTTTGATTCATTGTTAAGTGTTGGTCCAAACGTAAAATGGTTTAAAACTGACTGATTTAAAGAAAATCGACTTTATTCAATTGATTTATCAAAATATATCTTTAATGACTTGTGTTAAAGAGCTATTAAAGTTATCAACAATTTTATTATCGTTTGCAAATATAGTCTTCTAATAAAAAAAGGAATTTATAAGGTATTTTCCTTCATTCCTCAAACAATACAGACTCTAATGAAGATGAAGATTGGCCTAAATATTTTCAAAGAATTTTGTACTGCTTCCTCAATTCTCAAAATCAAATAGAAGCTCAAAAAATTATTTTAGTCCTTACAAAAACAAGAAAGCTTCAATTTATGCCAAAATCATTTTCAAGGAGGATTCTTTTTTTAAAGGAAATTCAAACTTTTTTTTTCTAAAGTTTCAATGACAGATTTGGTTTTGACAATTTAAATATGATTACAAATATTTCATAATGAGAATAAGTAAATCTGGGTTTATGGTACATAAGATTACAGAGTAGGAAGTCGAATTATAGTTTTTTTATATAAAGAAACTTTTTATAAAGAACAAAATGATCATTTTAAAGATGTTGAAATATACAGATTAAATCAAGGCTCTCGCAGATTATAATCTTCAAACAATCCCATACAAAGATTATTATCTTCAATAATCTTTGTATGAAAGATTATAAAAGATTATAATTTTTTCGTTTTTAAAGATTATGATCTTTGGGAGCAATGGTTAATCATGTTAGTGCAAGATATACAGACAGAATTTAAACTTGTTTATAGGAGTAGTCGACTAACCTCCGATAGCTCAGTTGAAAGAGAATGAGATATTCTTCATTGTATTATTCTTAACTAAAAGTTTTGTGCATTTCTTTTTGGATAAAAGGCTTAAAATTCTTTTATAAGTCGTTCATTAAAGACTTACATTTGAAAACGAAGAGTTAAAGAAATTAAAACAAAGATTGATCAGATTGATACCAGAGATTGAGATTTGAAGCTAGACTTGACCTGATAATCCTACTCAATTACAAATTCTGTTCTATACCAACGAGATTACCAACCCTGCCTCAAAATAACTTATTTGACAAAATATGTTAAATTAATTTTCATAATAAACTTTACACAAATTTTTGACATTTCACCTTCTCTTTTAAGACACAAGAACAACAAAAGTTTTTGTAATGCCTTCAACCCCAGAAGAAACTTGTTTAGATTTTAAATAATTTATCATAAAATTATCTTATCATCTCCATCCTTAACTATCTTAAAAATCTGTCTGCTTCCGAAAACACAACAAAAAAAAATGTTTTAGGAAATATTTGCATACATCAAAAAAAAATTGTTCCTTAAATCTCTGATTTAAACAAATCTGTTTATGTAAAATGTCCATTCTTCTTTATATTTCTCCTATTCAAACATAAGCATTATGATGATGATGATGATGAGGAAGAGAATGAAAACTTTTTGGACATAGAATTGTCATCATTTTTCCTGTTGTTTTCCTCTTCATAATAGCCGAAAAAAAAAACAATATTCACGATGATGTAGAACATGATGATGTCAAAAACAACATTTTAGTCCAAAATGTGAGAAAGAAGACCAGAAAAAAATGGAAACAGCAAACATTTAGGAACATCAAGAAGAGAATGAACAAAAAAAATTTATGAAAAGGGAGAAAAAGTTGAAAATTTCAAATTATATTTCATTTCCTACCCATCTATGGCAAAAGCAGCAGCAACATCGACCAACAAGCTTCAAAATGCAAACAATTTTTTCTCGGCTTTCTGTTCCTCTTGTGCTTGTTCTTTTTGTTCAATGAGATTAGCTATCTGGTTTGTCAGGGTGAATCGCTTTTTACTTGTATTCATAAAATCTAGGTAGAATAAAGTCAATGACATGTCCGAATGATAATAGTAAGCTTATCAGATTGTGATGTTTTAGGATTAGTGAATTCTGAGAATCAGAATGAAGCAGGGAATATGATAGACTTGATTTTGTACTTTTGAAGTAAGATTAAGAGTAAATTATGATTGAGCTGCAAATTTGACTAAGGTTCTAATAAATTTGTGTCTAATGCCATTCCTACTAAGTGCTGGAAAGTCCAGTAATCTCCACAAGTAGCTTTGTCTGTCTACCCGAATGGCACAAGTCTGTTAAACGATCAGAAATTTGAGACCAAGCCGGTCTGACTATAGCATGGTGCTGGATTTAAAACCAAACCAATCCCATGCCAGAGTCAGGTCGGCTTGGCACTGAATTTCTATTCTATTAATCGACTTGTGCTATTTGGGCTAGTTCTTCTTGGAGGAACTTCAAATGAAGAATTTATCAGGAAAATCCATTCAATTTTGTCTTGCTGAACCTTCGAAGAAATCCACTCCTTAAAAATCAAATCCTCCTTCCACAAATCAGTTGTAGAGATTGCATACCAGCAAGTAAATACTTTGTTTCCCGAATCAAGCATTATCAGAACAAACAATATTAAAGATCAGACAAAGTCTCAGAATTTAGTAACAAATACTTTGCCTATCATTTATTTTAAGCACACAAATCCTCAAAAGACGCTCTCATTATTTGCCTTCCTCGAACTTCAACTCAATCTCTTTTGTTTGCAAATATTATTCCTTCCTATCTTCTTCTTCTTTGTCGATTTTTCGGAAGACAAGAATTTGAGCTTTTTTTCTCTCCTTTTTTTGCCTTCTTTTGGTTTATATTTAACTGACATTGAAACGTGCTGGTTAAAAACTGTTGTCGAGAGGATTTTTTTTGCAAAAAGGAAGGAAGAAAAAAAAACTTTTTATGATCCAAACATTTGTTTTTTGCTTACAAAAATTCAATTTCTTATTATTATTTTTTCTCATTACAGACTGTTTGGCAAGCTACGCAACGGAGGCAGTGATGCAATATTGTCATGGAAGACGAAGGGTAATAATCAAAAATATTGGCATCAAATTTTTTATTCCTAATTATAACTTTTTAATTGATTTCAATCCCAATTTTTGCTTTGCCAATCTTTTACAGTGCAATATTACCGCAGATCAGAAAACATTTGGTAAACCATGTCAACCGGATTCTAGGATGTATTTAAAAGTTATTTATACATGCTGTAAGTGGAATTTGTGTTTTTATTGCATACATTTTAGGAGATGTGAATTTATGTTGAATGTGTGTGCGTGTTATGTGATGGGAATTGGTTATGATGCGCATTATGCGTGTGAACATTCGCTGGAGAGTGATTTTATGTGTGAATTGTTGTATAATGCGCAGCATTTGCTTTCTACAGGAGATGTTTCTTGAAAAAATCAAAGAAACTTTAAATTTCAACATTTAGACGAGACTACCAGCTTCAACAATTTCCCAGAAATTTCATTAATTTTTCAGAAATAAAAAATTCGATAATCTGTTGTAGACGAAATTCCTGTGTCTATAGAATCGATACTTGTTTAAACAATTGCCTCAATTCCCAGAAAAAAATTGATTCTCAGAAATCCATTTTACAAATAATCAGAAATTGAGTATATCTTCTGCATTTTTAACGGCACAGCATCTTAATTTCAACATTTAAGCACAGCATTAAGCTTTGGACTTTAGAAAGTGAAAGATTTTTTTTTGCCACCCCTTTAAGGGTTCTTCCACTTTCACTTGATTGATTTATGAGTCTCAATTAAGATGAAAAGCACTTCTGATGCTGACCTTAATTTTTTCTTTCCTTTTCCTTTTTAAAAAAAGTTTCAAGTAATTTTTCTTCATTTTTGTTCATTTTAAAAAAAACGAGGTGGTGCTTCCTTTTTATGCGAAACTATTCAATTTCTTTTACTTTGACTTCCTGCTTATTTCTCGTGCTTTTTTTTTATAATAAAATTTTTCCTTCCTTATTTTACCTTCAATATTAGCTTTTTACGTCTCCTTTGCTTTTCCTCCATCCTTGCAAATTGATTGAATGATATTTACAATCTGCGAATTTGAAAGTGCTTTCCATCATTTTCTAGCTTGCTGATTTTGCTATTTTAAAGAAGAAAAATGTTTTTTTGTTCCATTTACGGGTTTTTATCATTTTTGTTGTCTATTTTATAGTGCAAGCAGTTCTTCTTGTATTTCAGTAAACTTATTTTCGATATTTGCTATTTTCAATTTGGTTGAGGAATTTTGGGGATCTAAAGAGTAAGGTTTTGTCTTGTTTTGTAGGATTGTCATATTTACGATGTAGTTGAGTGTGTTTTTTGGAAATAAGGCATCTAAGACAGAACATAATGACTTAAGGTCGAAGTCAAAGCTATATTCAAGGTCGTAGACTTACTAACCTCAAAAATCATCAAACTCGGAAGTTCATTTATTTACTAATTCTTGAGATTACCAATTCTTGTGCAAATGTTTAAAGGGATTCCAATTGTAGTCCATCGATATTAATTTCTGTCCTAGCGTCCCAAACCAAGAAACCAGACCCAGATCCAGCTTGAGTTTCTAAGTGTTTAAAATCCAGAATTGATCTAGATCACCTAATATCTGATGATGATGATGATAGGTTCCTATTGCTCCAATATGAAGCGTAGGGCGTCCACAAAGCATTTGAATCGCACTCGATTCTGGGCCAAAGCTGCTATTTCCTGCAGCTTCTTGTTCTGTTGTTTCGCCTCCCGTTCAACAGTTGTACGCCAAGTAATTCTCCGTCGGCCCCTAGTCCTATTTCCTTGGACATTCCAGAAAATCGCTTGTCTCGCGATGTCTGTATGGTCTTTCCTTGATGTATGGCCAATCCAGTTCCATTTCCTTTTCCCAACTTCGTCTGCAATAATTTGTTGTTTAGTCATTGCATACTCTGCTCTGTGTTCCTTATTGTTTGAGGATAGTAGATGCCACATATTGCTCTCAGACATTTGTTGACGAAAACTTGGATGCGTTGTGTAAGAGCTTTTGTAACTTTCCAAGTCTCGCATGCGTAAAGAAGTACAGGCTTGACGTTCGAGTTGAAGATCTTCAGCTTCAGTCGTCTCGAAAGTCGGAGGGAGGTCCAGACATGTCGTAATGAACCAAAAGCTGCATTGGCCAGTCTAATGCGGTTACGGACGTCGTCTTCAGCACCGCCGTCCTTAGAAATAATACCTAATATCTAGTCACTAGAATAATTGTCATCATCACATCCAAGGCTTCGCTACTGACTTTGCTCTACCATTCGATGTAGAATCTATTCCATTAGATCCATGCCTGTTCGAACTAGCATTAATATATTTACTCTTAACCTAAAAATTTCCACATCAGATCTTCCAAATATTTTAATATGTGCTCAATATTATCAACTCAGCAGTTCCTCATATCATCTTTCAAAACAATTTAATACACCTCGATGCTTTAATGCTAAAATTACTTTCCTCTAGACTTGTTTGGCACACATAAATGTTTCTTATTTCTACAGTTTCTTGAATGAATCTTGAAATGTATACATTTTACTGTTTACGGAAGTTCTCTCATTTCTTCTTCCTTATTGCGATATGATGGTGCAGAGATAAATTAAGATGAAGAACAACAGCAAATATGGGTTAACATGTGAATCGTGTGTATGTTTAATAAAATATGAGTTATTGCATCTCATCATCTGTCATCTACAAACATCTGCAGATCTACAAAAATTTACTTATTCTATGTTTTTTTGTTTTTGTTTTCAGTGCCAAGAAGGCTTTTGATCGATCGATTCGAATCAACGCCTGAACCCGACGAGCCACTTCCATATGATGACAATGAAGTGGATCAAGAAGAAGAGCTTTACGATGAAGATCAATTTTATAAAGAGTCTGATATATCACCCGGTCCTGCCCCAAAACTACAAAGTGATTTATCAAAGAAACCACAACAACGACCTGATAATGACCCAGTTTTTACTCCAACTGTGTCGTCTAGTATAAGTCCGCCTCAACATGCACGAGATGATTCTCCGATTGAGGGTGAGTCCTTTGAATTTTTGTATAGTAGAAAAAGTTTTGAATGAGAAGGAAGTACAGATTTGAGTCTGTGGATGTAAATTTGTGTAAATAATTTTTGGTTTATTCTGATTTTTGAAGCTTTTTGTACAGCAATTTTAAAGTGGGGTTATTTGTAGTTGTAGATATTTTGAGAGAATTTGAATTCATTGTGAGGTGTCTATGGAATCTCTGGATTGTATAATTTCAAACCAATAAAAGAAGTTCTAGTCTAGAAGTGTATATTACCTTAATTATAAGTTTCCCCTTCTTCTTAAAACCTACAAATTTTAACCCCTAAAATTCTCACAAAATCTCCAAACGGAAGCAACCATAAAAGTAACAAAAAATATAAAAAAAAGTGTGTGTGAAGCTGGCGGGAACAGGTTCTCAGATCAAGTTGAAACTTTGTCAGAATTACGTCCATATTACGTCCATTTACGTCCCGTAATTAAATATTTTCGTCCTACTTCCTATGACTGGATATACCACTTTCAATATTTGAGTATCTTTCCCGCCAACTTCACTTTTTCAGCGGGAACCAATTACGAAATTAATTTTAATTATACATATTATATATCAAAACTGATCTCCTAATTACGTCCAATTTCGTCCCGTAAAAATTTTTGGAATCGGATATAACCAGCAAGAGTTATGGACTGTCAAAGTTTTGAACAGTACTACTTGTGGACCAATATTTTTTCCTATTAAATACTTATCATGTAGTATATCAAAACACGTCTCATTTTTGTCAAGAGCTTAAATCTGATGGAACTATTTAAGTTCAATCTGTCATTTTGGACTTTTTGCAGTTCCAGTTCCATCTCGTACCTGAACATCATCAAAATTTCAAAAATTTACTAGGACCATATTGTATGTCAAAATATATTTATTTTTTCTCAGTATTCCTTATCGGAAGGAATTTTTTAGATTATTTCGCCATTTTAAATTTTTGGCAGTTCCTGTGCATTCTAGCCTCGTACCTGAGCATGTACCTGAGTCCAAAAATTCGAAAAAAATTAAAAATTAAAAAATAAACATTTTTTTGTTTTTCAATATAAAGATAAGGTTATCGAATCTCAAAATTTTTAAAAACTTTTAGAGTATTCAGGTATTTAGGTCATTAATATAATTATTTTTTAACGAGAAAAAAAATTTTAATTTTCAATAATAATTGCCAATCAAATAATTTTGGATGTCAACGCATCAAATTCTTTACCAATGAATTATTTCAAATCTATAATTAATTCGTAATAGCCACTGGCTAGCCCTCTTAAAAATTTTAAATCAAAAAGATGCACACATATATCAAGATGTGCAGGCATGCCAAAAATGTACTGAAACTGTAATAAATCCAAATCTACCATCAGGATTAAAAAATTTCCTCAGAATTTGAATTAATGTGAAAAAATCCTTATGATTTGATGCATAACATGTCCTTAATTTTTTTTCGAATTTTTGGACATGCTCAGGTACGAGGCTAGAATGCACAGGAACTGCCAAAAATTTAAAAAGACGAAATAATCTAAAAAATTCCTTCCGATTAGGAATACTGAGAAAAAATATATTTTGACATACAATATGGTCCTAGTAAATTTTTGAAACTTTGATGATGTTCAGGTACGAGATGGAACTGGAACTGCAAAAAGTCCAAAATGACAGATTGAACTTAAATAGTTCCATCAGATTTAAGCTCTTGACAAAAATGAGACGTGTTTTGATATACTACATGATAAGTATTTAATAGGAAAAAATATTGGTCCACAAGTAGTACTGTTCAAAACTTTGACAGTCCATAACTCTTGCTGGTTATATCCGATTCCAAAAATTTTTACGGGACGAAATTGGACGTAATTAGGAGATCAGTTTTGATATATAATATGTATAATTAAAATTAATTTCGTAATTGGTTCCCGCTGAAAAAGTGAAGTTGGCGGGAAAGATACTCAAATATTGAAAGTGGTATATCCAGTCATAGGAAGTAGGACGAAAATATTTAATTACGGGACGTAAATGGACGTAATATGGACGTAATTCTGACAAAGTTTCAACTTGATCTGAGAACCTGTTCCCGCCAGCTTCACACACACAAAAAAAATAATCCAAAGGGAATAGAAGTTTCGCAAACATAGAAACACATTACGAGAATGAAAAGATGAGAAAAAAAAGTTAATTATAAATTTTTGCTAATTAATAAGAGTACAAACAATCTCATTTGCAACCCTTTTTTGCTGCTTTTGCTATTTCCTTCTTCCCTAACCTAATGTTGTGTTATACAATTCCACCTATTAACATACTAACATAATGTAAAATGTATTGTAATTTATGAAATATTTATTTAACTTGTACAAACAGAACATAATTATTTTTAACATATACTAAAATAACAATAGATGACCTCTTTGGATGTATTTTATATCTTCTTACTAACATGTGGATGTGAAATTATTAATTACAACTATTTGTTGATTTCAGGGTTGCGATACAGGCACCTGTGCACAGTTGAGAACCATACAATTCCTTGAAAATTTATAAGGTTTTATTAGAATTTTTATGGTTTTGTAACAAAAACCTTATAAATTGTCAAGCATTTGTACGGTTCTCACCTGTGCACAGGTGTCTGTATTGAAACCTTAGTTTATTTGTAAGCTCTTACCGGGGCGAAATTGAGAGAGAAAAATTAAAGAAATAATTTAAAGTCAATTCAATATTTGTGCTGGTTTTAGGCTGGAGGGCTAGTTCTAGTCAATATAGCCAACCCTGGGTTAGAGGGCTAGTTCTAGACTAGATCGCAATGTCTCAGTAAGAGGGCTAGTCTAGGCTAGAGAGTTATTTCTAGGATATATATTAAGTACAAAGCTTAAGAACTGGTTCTAGTCTAATGATGTGGAGTTGACATCATAACTGATGATTTGACCCTGAGCACCTAATAGCTTTATTAAGTCACTATCAAAACTCCTCAGCAATCAGCCAAAGATGTAAACCCGATGAAAATAATCAAAAAGACTTTATTAGATGCCTAGTCACTCCAACCGAGTCCTCAGCTCCATTTCAAGCTTCCAACGAATTTTTGATAGCTCTTTAACTAAAGTTTCTAGCTCTCAAGCTCTTATCTTTAAGCCATAAAGTGAATAATGACTGCATTATAATAACAGAGATAGTTTAAAAGCAGATAAAATAATTTAATAGATCTTTATGAAGAAGAAGTGCAAGTAAAACTGCACATAAAAAACTTATAATTTCAAAATCAAACATTTACACTAGCTATAGTGCCTGAAAAGTATATATACCTTTAGCATTCATTCAGAGTACATACGAAAGTTTACGAACTGGTTTTTTTCAGGTTTTCATTGTTTTAAATTTAAATAATTTTTTAATTACCGAGAATAGATTGTTTTAAATTTTGTGAGGCTTTAATGAAAGAAAATTCTCGTCAAGATTTAATTTTACAGTCATAAAAGTAGAATATAATGACCAAATCTTAATATAACTGGCATCTTCCTAATTTAGATGAACAAAGTTTTTCAACTAATCAAAATTTGCCTCGAAGGCTAATTTTGCATAAAAAATTAATTATAATTGACTAATGCAGCACAAATTTGCATCAAAAAATTGAAAAAAAATCAAAAAACTTTCATGAATCTCATCATAAAGTATAGTTATTGATTTATAAAAAAAAACTTTGTCTTGCTATAAAACATCGTTGAAAGACTAGACAGGCTATTAGAACAAAATGTTAACCAAAGTTACTGCACCTAATGATTTACATGTACATTAAATTGAAGGATGTACTTAAATTAGTTTCTAATTGCTGCTATTGCTATTTAATTTTATGTCATGGACAGGACTTTTTCATGTGAATTTTTAATTGATTTTCATATTTTTTTGTCTATGGAACTTTCGTCTATATGATAAGTTGTTGAGTGAATTTTATCTTATGGCAATGATCCCGAGTGACTCAGTCGTTTTGGGTTGGTTTCTTTGCATCAATATCTATCAAGGATTTAACCTAATGGTACATCTTTTTGTATCTTTAACTTGCTTTAGAAGTAAACATTTAAATTGATTTTTTAATGTCTTGCTACTCTCTAAACCAGTGTTGTCTAAACTGTGTGCTGCGGCACACTAGATTTTTGAAAATGACAAGAGCCACATGCTGTCTGCGATTTCGGTCATGACTTATCCCTAAAGTGTGCCGTGGCCCAAAAAGTTTTGACAACACTGCTCTAAACTGATGCCAGAAGCACCTGTAGTAAATTTTAAGGCACGCTTTAATGAAGCACTTTTAGTTTCATTACTAAAATTATAGCTCGGAACTGTTAACTAGTATTGATTTGACTTCTAATCAGTAAAATTGAACATCTAGCTGACTATAAGTTCGATGTAGCATCAATTGGTCTCGAATGTGCTACAAACCACGCGAATAACATCAGTCGACCCTACGTATGGCACCAAACAAGATTTACACAACCATTTGAAATTCTTAAAAAAAATTACATTCATCTCTAAGATGTCACTACACCTGCCTTATGTTGAATGACATGCGTCACTCGGAGAAATGCACTCAAAAACTTTATTTTACACTAAAATTTCATTCAGCATCTGAACAACTTTAATTTTCAACATGATCTTAAAACTTTGACATGAGTCTTTGCCATAAAAAAACTTAATAAATAATCATGACTCTATCATTTCATAAAACTGTATGTGCTTTTATCTGTAAGAAACTTTTCGAATGACAACTTTGAACATGAAGTAAGCCAACATCTTTACTCTATGCCAGAACACTTTTATTATTAGTATTAAAAAAAATCTTCTAAAATTCAGAAAATAAATGGAAACTCAAGTAAGATATAGCAATGTTGCATGAGGCTATGTATGTAGCTTGTACATGAAAAATTTATAGTACTTAACGTATGCTATGAAATTCTCTCACATATCATAAATCGGAAAATGGATGAAAAATACGAGAAAATGTAAAGAAT